AATAGCAAAAATTCGGATATAACATACATACCACAGAAGATCTGTCGCATATTATATTCGATTCTCCGTCTTCGCAAAACAACGAAGTATCAGTTCAAGTTGCCACTTTCGCGCGGATGTGGTTCTTCCCAGGAAGTTTATAATTAAAGATTAAATGGAAAAACCGTTGAAATCGTGTGTTCCGCTTTCAATTCAATTCTTTCGCTAAAAATGGATCAATGTTTAAAAACGTTCAACGCGTCCTAGCGCTCCTTTCCAGGTGGTTGTAAACTCTCGCCCCGTTCGAGTGGTCCGGCATGAAGACACCCCGTAATCTGTAAAAGTGGCGTTATTGGCCCCCAGACTGTGGCAGTTTTGGATAAAGCGAGCGGTTTGATGGGCGAACCTTCCAATAGTCCCAGAGTTTTATAACCGCAAGCTCGGTTATACGAGCACGGGACCGGACAGCTGTCTTATCTCCGTGTTCGTGCAGAGAAATCTAATTATTGACTTACACGGCGCGCTTCCTGTCAAAGCCAAGTTTTAATGATCAACCGGTGGTCATTACATGCCAGCCGAACCGATATATATAGCGTATATTTGTAAGTGCTGGTTTCATGTCAATTAAATTACATTGGCTCCGGCTAATGGCTTTCAGGGGATGAACCGAACTAACGAGTCAGCGACCAGATATATCTGGATGGGGTTTAAACGCTGGGGTGCATGAGATGGAGGGTATTAAGGAACAATTACGCTGTTTCGGGCGAAATTGGTGGTTTAGTGGAGGTTAAGGAAGGAATATGATAATCCGGGCTGAATGCGAACTCTGGATAGGTACATGATACTGGCTTAAGTGGTTGCTTTCTTACACGAAATCACTTACCACTTCTGAATTTCGTTCAAGGTGACCAAATAATAGAAAATAAAACACGATCAACTATAACCTCACTGTTCGCCGGTATTTTAATTCATTTTCAGGCAACAAAAACTCCAAGCTTCCAACATAATTAGCTTCCGCTGCTGCGAGAAAATAAACACAAAATAAAATTCCCCAAGATTACATTCCCGTAAGCACGCAGAAGCACCCAAAGTATTAAAAAATTAACTTCAAGTCTCGTGTTAAGTTCGTCTATTAAATTTGGGGCAACAAAAAATGACTTGATAGTTGGAGCCCAATTTACCCTTCGTTGCGGTTTGGTGCGAATTTGGCGCCTTTTATTTTCCTCGGCTGTTTTGTAGTCTGTTTACACCACTCATCAACTTTAACGGACCGCACTCCTTTTTGCGTTACTCCTAAAGTGAATAACAAGCCGCGAGTTCCTAAGTAATCTCATAAAAATGAGTAAACTTGGATCATCGAAGGTATGGCGAAAATTGTGTAAGTTTGTGAAGGCTCGGCTTAGCTACTGCTTTAAAACAAGTTTAACATACAATGGAATTCAATTAAACAAGCAACTCTGTCGAACATCACTGCTGTAAAGTTCCAGAATAATTCCCCGTGTAATGTTAAATCCGAATTCCTTCAGGACGACGCGCTGTCCCTTTAAGCATTCCTCTTTCTGGCCTGTCATCGGATGCCGGTTCACTGATTCAATTAAAGAGCTGCATATTGCTAAAAGTGAGGAGTGAGGAGTTGTTTCAGATTCGAAAATCGTTAATAAATTCGTCTTACGCTAATTACACTTGTTACACGAGAACTGTAGCTAGAGCTCGCTATCGAATTTATTTTTTCCGTGACGGGTGTAAGTGAAAGTTATTTTTCCTCCTTCGTGTTTATGAAAAGAAAATCGTTTGTTCTAAAATGATAGCCCCCAAACCTTTTCCCTCAAATATGTCACCCTCAGCGACAGCAAATCCAGGATGTTTCACTCGATAATCTGGAAGTTTATTAGAGAGCTTCGTGAGGGCCTGTTCCACTCCATTAGTTTTAATATAATAAATTTCAATGGTCGAAAAACAGCTATTTGTTTTTATAGACTCCCATCGAAATCGGTTACTTCAACTTTTTCCTTGTTTGTAAACAAATAAATTTCAATTGGACACCTAATTGTTCAGTACTTGAAATAAATTGTTTCAGTGAGTCGAATGAAAATAAATTAAAGATCAGAAATTAGGTGGTGCGTTCTTTGGCGTTCTGGTTTGCATACGAATGTGGAATTGACTGTGGAACCGAGCGTTTAAAAATACATCTGTTGCTTTGTTGGCGCGTTTTCGAAAACAATAGTTATTAAATTTGCGTTTGAAGTAGGAGTTCGTTGAAAAATGGTGGAGGCGCCGGGAAAATCATACAATTTTGTCTAAGGTTTGTAAAAATTGCGCAAGCTTTAATATTCTTAACGTAAGACCTAAATTATCGGGAGCTTTAAGTGAAAGAACTCTGAAAGTTTGTCGATTGTTAAAGCTTATAACTACCTCGGTACGTTGTCGTGAGCTTGTCCACCCAATCGAATTTATTAAAAACAGTGAAATGATTAAGATTTTTCCAAACAAATCTCCTAAGAACTTTAACTACGACCTAAATGCGATAACTCCGAGAGCTCTTTCACCCGACTCCGAATTTTAATTTGTTATTCCTTTTCGTTCGCTCTCCCACTTAATTTCAAAATTTCCTGCAAGTATTCGCGAGTTCTGCTGTAGCTTAGCCTGCACTCCCCTGTTTGCACTCCACAAAAAGGAAGAATCGAAATGACATTCAAATTCATTCCGGTAACTTCCCTAGACTCCCATATCTAGATATCTCGCCCTGTCTCAAGCGAGTCATATCGCCTTAATCGTGTTTGAAGTGGAATAAGAAGAAGGGAATCCTGGAGAGTCGGTCGACCTTTTGTGGCTGCAGACGCCGTCTGAAAGCAATTGTCAAATGTAATTTCACGCCTCCACTGGCAACAGATATTTGGGTCATCCTCCGGCTGTGCCATAATACGCCATTACGACACGACCTACCTGCGATTAAAAAACGGTTTTCTACGCCCACGGCGAAAAAGCGGCGGCTCGGGCTGCAAAATTCCTCCTCGGGGGTAATCGCCATCATTACACGCTTGTTGAATAACTATTTCCTCCATCGGAAATTCATGTCTGCGGAATTTTTAATAAGCTGCAATTGCACTTGATTTGATTCGACTAGGAGTTGTGGAGTCTGAAGGAAGGGTAATAAGCAAACGGGGTCGATGAAGGGGAAAAAGAGCAGCGCTAGCTATAACAACATTCGCTTTTATTACATGCTTTGAAAGGTACGTTTTTCGAATAATCTGCTTCATTAATCGTTAACATGTCCCATAGGTCATTTGAGGAATTATGAGCCCCATTAGAGCAATTTCCTCTTAACGCAAAATCGAACCAACGACCTGTGACTCGATGTTTAACCGAGTGGAAGCGATGTCTGTGGCTTTTGTTGATGTTTAACAGTTAAGTCTATTTTCATTTACCAGTATTTTCTCGGTTTTTCATGTGTTATCGTCGCACTTCGTCAAGAAAACACCGCACCAATTGACTAGATTGCTCCATAATTTCTACTTCAATAACCACAAATCGTAAATCATACAAATTGGATTTGCATGCATGACATAAATTGAATTTTCGTTACAACAATGCAATGAACGTATTATTTGCTTTTATTCCGTTGTCTGTTTCGGGGGCAATTTTTACCAGCGATTTATGAGAAATTTACAAACGTGCCACGTCTTAAATCAAAATTTAATTATTGGAGTGCATACGTGTTTCGTTTTGACAAGGCCGTAATTAAAATGAGTAATCTGTGTCTCTTGTGGCTGCCGGGAACCATTTGCGTTTTTGTAGCGGAGAGCAAGCTTTTTAATTACCAAAATTCGGTGTTCATTTCGGGTGTTCGGGGAAAACGCCGCAAGTTAAGAATATAATCCAAAAAAAAAAAAACGAAAAAACATTAAGTCAACTGGTCTATGAATACATTGATGTATGAAAAATTGTTCTAAAATCATTTTAAAACAAGTTGCCATGCTTGTGTTTCAGTTTAACTTAAAACTAAACATCAGGCTCCGAACATTGTCTTAAATTTTTTCATTGAACATCAAGGGCTTCTAAGCTAACGGAACAATTCCCAAGATTCTTTAATTCTTTCAAAAACGGAATAGCAAAAACCCCAAAGTTTATTTAAATTCCTTCCAAAACATATCACTCGGAATCTTCAATATTTTTGAAAATTCTTTCAAAATCAGAACATCAGATATTTCCAAAAACCTTTTAAATTTTTGAAAAAATGACACTAGTGTTTCTTTCAAATCCTTTCAGAAATAAGAGATCTAGTATTCTCAAAATTTGTCCTAAAACAAAAAAAAAACAAGGGTTTCCAGCATCTTTCTTATATTTTCGAAAACGTACCAGGGATTCCCAAATTTTTCTTCTTTCTTTTTTTTTCTAAAACGTTACAGTGAACCTATTCTGATTCTCTCAGTTTAAACATATAAGATACAAAAGTATAGTGGCACAAAATACTCTTTTAATTTTTCAAAAATAAGAACGGTAACTTTAAAACTATTTTTAAATCTCAAAAAAACCGAAACTAAGGACTTTGAGATTCCTTAAAAATTAAAAATATTATATATGAGAAACTCTCAAGATTCTTTCAAATTCTTTCAAAATCTGAACATCGAAGACTCCATATCTTTTTAAACAGGCAGAACGCCAGAACGACAGAACCACAGAAGAACAGAATGACAACGACCAGAAGGACAGTATGTCAGAACGGCAGAAAGAAGGAGGGAATAAGAGAACCACAGCAGAATGAGGAGAAAACAAAGCAACAGAAAGGCTGAACAACAAGGGAGAATGACAGAATGACAGAAGAACTAATTAATAGACTGGCAGCAGCATAGAACGACGAAATGGCAAAGGAGAGAATGATATAAAGACAGACTGACAAAATGATAGAATGACAGAACGACAAGAGAACAGAATGACAGAAGAAGAACAACAGGATAGATTGACAGAATGACAGAAGGACAGGATAAGAGAAGAACAGAAGGGCAGAATGGTAAAAAGGCAAAATGACAGAAGCTCGAAATTACAGAAGGACAGAACGACAGGAGGGTAGATTGACAGGAAAGAATGACAATGATGAATGATTACAAGGTGACAGAAGGATAAAATTACAGAAGAGTAGAACGAAAAAGCGGTAAAAGAACAGAACGACAGTAGAACAAAATGACATAGGGACACAGTGGCAGACCAACAGCAGCACAAAACTAGAACATGGCATAAGGACAGAATGACAGAACAACAGAAAGACAGAATGAAGTAAGGATATAATAACGGAACGATAGAACCATAGAATTATAGAAGAACAGAAGTATAGAACAACAAAATGCTAGCAGAATAGAATGATAAAACGATAGAAGGACAGAACAACACGAAATAGAGTCACGGAAGAATACAATAACGGAACAGGAGGATAAATTAACAGGAGACGAAAAAAGACGAAAAAAGACGAGAAGGATGGAAAAGGGCGAAAAGGATGATTAATCACGATTAAGGACGAAAAAGAACGAAGTCGGACGAAAAAGGACGGAAAGGACGATAAAGAACGAAAAAGACGATAAAGAACGAAAAGGACGAAAACGACGAAAAAGGACCATTAAGGACGAAAAAAGACGATTAAAGACGATTAAGTACGAAAAAGACGAAAGAGGACGAAAAAGGACGAAAAAGGGCGAAAAAACGAAAACAGACGATAAGGACAAAAAAGGACGATTAAGGACGAAGAAGGACGAAAAGAAGGAAAACGGACGATTCAGAACGAAAAAGGTCGGAAAAGGACGAAAAGGACGAAAAAGGACAAAAAAGATGAAGAGGACGAAAAAGGACGAAAGGATGAAAAATGACGAAAAAGACGAAAAAGACGAAAAAGGGCGAAAAGGACGAAAAAGGACGGAAAGGACGAAAAAGACGATTGAGAACGAAAACGACGAATAGGACGATTAAGGACGAAAAAGAAAGCAACAAGAAGAAAAAGGACGACAAAGGACGAAAAATGACGAAAAAGACGATTAAGATCGAAAAAGGACGAATAGGACAAAAAGGATGAAAAATGACGAAAAAACACGATTAAGGAAGAATAAGGACGAAAAAGGACGAAACGGAGGAAAAGGACGATTAAGGACAAAAATAAACTCAAAAGGAAGAAAAAGGACGACAAAGGACGAAAAAGGACGGAAAGGACGAAAAAGACGATTGAGAACGAAAAAGACGATTGAGGAGGAAAACGACGAAAAGGACGATTAAGGACGAAAAAGAAAGCAAATGGAAGAAAAAGGACGACAAAGGACGAAAAATGACGAAAAAGACGAAAAAGACGATTAAGGTCGACAAAGGACGAAAAAACGAAAACAGACGATAAATACAAAAAAGGACGATTAAGGACGATTAAGGACGAAGAAGGAGGAAAAGAACGGAAACGGACGATTCAGGACGAAAAAGGTCGGAAAAGGACGAAAAGGACGAAAAAGGACGAAAAAGGACAAAAAATACGAAAAGGACGAAAAAAGACGAAAAGGACGAAAAGAACGAAAAGGACAGAAAATGACGAAAAAGTGCGAAAAGGACGATTAAGGACGAGAAGGACGAAAAAGGACGAAAAGTACGAAAAAGGACGATTAAAGACACAAAAGAACAAGAAAGGACGAAAAAGGACGAAAAGAACGAAAAGGACAGGATAGGACGAAAAAAGACGAAAAAGGACGCGAAGGACGGAAAAGGGCGAAAAGGACGATTAATTACGAATAAGGACGAAGAAGAACGAAGTAGGACGAAAAAGACGAAAAAGGACGGAAAGGACGAAAAAGGACCATTAAGGACGAAAAAGGACGAAAAAGCACGATTAAGGACGAATAAGGACGAAAAAGGCGAAAGAGGACGATAAAGGACGAAAAAGACGATTAAGGACGAAAAAGGGCGAAAAAAACGAAAACAGACGATAAGGACAAAAAGGACGTTTAAGGACGATTAAGAACGAAGAAGGACGAAAAGAACGAAAACGGACGATTCAGGACGGAAAAGGTCGGAAAAGGATGAAAAGAACGAAAAAGGACAAAAAAGACGAAAAGGACGAAAAAGGGCGAAAAGGACGAAGAAGGACGAAAAGGGACGGGAAGGAAGAAAAAGACGATTGAGGACGAAAATGACCAAAAGGACGAAAGAGGACGATTAAGGACGAAAAAGGACAAATAAGGACGAAGAAGGACGAAAAATGACGAAAAAGGACGAAAAAGGACGAATAAGGACGAAAAAGGATGAAGAGAACGAAAAGGACAGAAAAGGACGGAAAAGGATGAAAAGGACGAAAAAGGACAAAAAAGACGAAAAGGACGAAAAAGGGCGAAAAGGACGAAAAGGACGAAGAAGGACGAAAAAGGACGGGAAGGAAGAAAAATACGATTGAGGACGAAAAAGACGATTGGGGACGAAAACGATGAAAAAGACGATTAAGGACTAAAAAGAAAGCAAAAGAAAGAAAAAGGACGACAAAGGACGAAAAATGACGAAAAGGACGAAAAAGGCGATTAAAGTCGAAAAAGGACGAATAGGACGAAAAGTATGAAAAAGAACGATTAAGGACGAAAATGACCAAAAGGACGAAAGAGGACGATTAAGGACGAAAAAGGACAAATAAGGACGAAGAAGGACGAAAAATGACGAAAGAGGACGAAAAAGGACGAATAAGTACGAAAAATGACGAAGAGAACGAAAAGGACAGAAAAGGACGGAAAAGGATGAAAAGGATGAAAAGGACGATTAAAGACGAGAAGGACGAAAAAGGACGAAAAGGACGAAAAAGGACGATCAAGGACGAAAAGGGCGAAAAAGAAAGAAAAAGAATAACAAACGACGAAAATGGACGAAAAACGACAGAACGAGAAGAGAAGAGAGTGACAGAAGTTTTTACAAAATTATAAGAAACATTTTTTACAAGGGGTAAACTAACCGCAGCGCACAAGTCACCAACACCCACTATTTTAGCAGCGCGCGTTACCTGGACCAATTAATATTATTAAAATAAATTAATTAAAATATCTAAACTAAAAAAAAGTTTGTTTGTTCGAAATGGAAACAAAATTAAAAAACAAATATCGATAAACATAACCCACTTAAAAATTGATATTTTACCATGAAAATGCTAATCTCTGTCATTCCTTTGGGAACCCGGTTTGGTGATCAGCTTTTGATTTCTTTGTCGCCAAATTCAGTGATGGACAATGAGAAAAAATACTGATATTCCAGAAGGGAAAGTAAGAAAAATTGATTTATCACAAAAAATTTGTTGTACTTACCTAATAATGAGGCGAACACGAACATGTTCCAAAATTAACGAAAACTGTGTATCAATTACTACTGTGTTTGCGTTTTTATAGACATATTCGCCGATAATGCGATTACTGTTTGACGTCTTCTACAGAATTAGTGTTATTTATTCGTAATGTAAAAGGCTAATCACAGATAAAACCTGTATACTTATCTTTTTTTGAAAACATATGTTTTACTTTGGTTTTCAATTTAAGTAAAACGCCGCAGTTTTTCCTACAACTCCCTCAAACAATTATCGGAAACGCTACATAACCCCGACAATGACTCTAATAAATAGTTTTCAAACTCCCGAGAAATATTAAACGGATTACTTAAATTGGAACGTTCCGTATCTGTCAAGAGAGCTGCTACATACACACCGCCGTCTATAATTTTGTAGGTCTCGGCATGTGTAAGATATTTCCTCAAACAGACAAGCCTAATAACTTTCAAACGTGAGCGAGTAAACTGAAGAGCTGTATTTGAAAACGTATCGCTCCACAGAAATGGAAAAGCAAAACTCGGCGCGGAATCCAATATACTGCGTACTTTTGCGCCATGACCACAGGAGGTAAATGGAATGTTCATTTGTATGTGACCGAAAAAACAACGAAATTTCAATACGCACGAACTTCGCAGAATTAACACAACAAACCGCGCCGGTAATTTTTAAATTTTATTACTACAAAGCCGAATTTAAATAAGGTATATTAAATCCCTCACCATTTTTTATAACTGTTTTCTTGTAACCAGTAAACATAATACCATATAGTTACCAGAAAACTGGCGGCCGCATCACATGTTGCCAACTTCGTTGGCAAATAGGTGAGATTAAAGTCAGCTAATGCTCATCCGTTCCTGCCCAAAACGACCACTTCTTCCGGCCCGAAACAGCCCGATATTGTTGGTGGATGTTTGCGCTGGAATCCGAATCGAGCTTAGAACATGCGGAATAAACTTCCGGTTCGGTTAGCAAACATGGCTTGTATTTGGCATTCGCCGGGCCGTTGTTTATATATTTTTTTGGTGTTGACCGGCGTCCACGAGACGTATACCCGTACGATTTGAGTTTGTAAGTCGAACTCGAGTTGGAAACGCTGGTATCGGCGGTTACGAGGGTAGTTTGGTAGCTCGGGAATCCATAACAGTAAATATCAACGGCGCTGGAGCTCGTTTAGCCTTGCAAGTAAACGCGTTACACTTGGAACTTCCGAGCTACTTTATGTCCGGCTATTCGCAGGACGGGACATAAATTAGCAGGAACGAATTCAGTTTCGGCGTTTTGCTGAATTTGGGGAAGGTGCGACGAGTAATGGCCGGCTAATGTGTAAACAACGTGAAAATGTGTGATGGGAGATTTGTAATTTCTAGATTCGTTACTACGTCGACGAGAATTCCACGTTAAACTCGGGCGCCAGTTTTTTGTAATTTGTCATTTTTAGAAGTAAAAATTCAAAGTTGAAAATATTTTTTTTAATGCACTGCAGTTTAATTAATTATAAAAATAACTGCCAAATTAGAAAATTGTAATGCCCTTCCTTATATTCATTTTATATTGTAAGGTGCATTTTAACCAAGAACATTTCGTTGATGACTGAAAGTTAAAAGAGACCGCTGTACCTAAATATTTGAAAGCTCAAGATTTTAAAGATAAGGCTCCATTTAAAATTATTAATCCAGAAAGAACAATTAATGAAAACAATATCAAGAATCAAAATTTATTATCAACACTTATTGTTTAAAAGAAAAAATGTACTGTTTAAATTTAGAGAGTTTAAAAATCAATGACAAACTGCAGGTAAATTTGGAAAAAACGACGAAGTGTGCACTCAAATAAAAAAAAACTGAGAGATAGTGCCTCAAGACTGTAGAAAAACCAGTGTTGATTAAATTTTCTTGCGGTTCTTCAGGCTATGAATCTTTATTAAAATTAAATTATTCGTCGCCATTCTTACGTATATTACGTCGGAAAATAGAGCATCTTAAATTCTATCCAGATAGAAACGTTTTATTATTTAAATTTAAAAGCTAAAAATTTTAAAGCAATTAGGATTTTATATTTATATTTTGCCTTTTTTTCTTAATATATGTACGTAGTTTTCTATTCACGACAAGAAACTGAAAACAAATCTTAATCCCTGCCCACCCACCCTTTTTTTATGTTGTGGCGATTTTTCTTTGTTCGTCGTGAGCAAGTGCGCAGCTTAACTGTCAAGTCCTTATTTTTCTGTGAGAAATTAGCATGTAAAACATGCTCTTAAATAATCATGTTGTTCAAAGAAAATTAAATGTATTAAGTAAAAAAGTGAACTCAAAGTTAAGCTCCACCCATGTCTCGATCTCAACTGTGACGAATTTTTCATTCACTGTCAGTCCGAAAATTCATATTTCCCGACAAAAATGTACCATTTTAAACATGTTTTATTATTGTTTTGTAATGTACGCCCCGCCCACCCACCCTATCTCTATTGTGAGCTTAATTGAATTTTTTTTATTTTAAACCTATTTTAATTATCGTGTTCTGAATAGAAATATATTTTTTGCTTTAATATCTATTTTGTGTTTTTTTTTCTATTTGTTAACAAACTCCTAATTTAGACTTAATGAGTGCTCAAGTATTCGGTATATTTATTTTTTTATATTTGTGCTTATTTATTTACTTTTTTTGTATTAATAATCCTTTAGTTTGTATCAATTGCTCTGTAATAGATTCTTATGAGCTGTTGGCCAATAAACACATCATTATTATTATTATTATTATTAAAAGAAGGCTAGGTATATTAAAAAAAGAAGCGAAATAGAAGCCCCGCCCACCCGCCCCCATCACAATTGTCGTGATTTTTTTTATTCGCCATAAGCCGAGGGGTGGAGCTTAACCACAAAATCTTTATTTCTCCACAAGAAATTACCGGTTGAAACATGTGTTGTTGTTGTTGTTGTTGACATAATAGGGGAGGGAGTTCCACAGTCTCAAAATAATCCATTTTCAACAATATGTACTTAAAACATGTTTCAGATGGTAATTTCGCGTTGATAAATAAGGATTTTGCAAATAAACTCCGCCCTCCGGCTCACGATGAATAAAAAAAATTATTACAATTGAGAAGGGGCGGGTGGGCGGGGTTAAATTTTGTCTTTAATAAACGTAATCTTCTTTTCACGACAGGATGTTTAAAACACGTTAAAATGGTAAATTTTTGTCACGAAGCATCGATTTTACAATTAAGCTCCGCCCCTCGGTCGGACAACGAATGAACAATTCATCACAAGTGAGGTTGGGGCTTATTTATAACCTCTTTTTTCTTAACATATAAAGTTGTCTTTCAACAACATGATACTTAAAAATATGTGTCACATGGTTGTTTCTTGTAGAGAAAAAAGCATTTTGCAATTAGGTTACGCCCATCTATCTAACAACGAATGAGAAATTCATCGCTAGTGAGATAAGGGCGGGTGGGTGGAGTTCATATTTTTCATTTTCTAATTTTTAGAAAACCTTGGAAAAATTTTCAGCGGTAGCCACTCATACTTAATTATTATGATAGGTGGGATATTGCGGCGGTGAAAACTAGAACTAATGCTCCAGACAGATCTCCAATTAATTTAATGTGTGCTTTATTTCATTGTATTTCTAGTAACTGTGATATTCAATGTACAATTTTAAACATGTTTTAAAATTTTTGTTGTGAAAAGATCACGTATATAAAAAAAGGCAAAATGTAAACCCCGCCCACCCACCCTATTTTAATTGTGACGATTTTTTTTATTCGTCGTGGTCCGGAATGCGGAGTTTATTTGCCATTTTAAACATATGTTAATAATTATCTTGTTGTGCAAAGAAGACTACGTATATTAAGAGAAGAAGCA